GCGATCACAGAGGGAAGACAGCCACATCTTGACCTGTCATTCTTCATCAGAGAAACCTATTGGATTCACAGGTGCTCTCAAGATACCAGTGAGTGATTGATTTCACCTTTATAGTATAGTAAAATTCTGAACCTTCCTCTGTAAATTCTCGAGTACCTGCGGGTTCTGATAAATGGTACTGAGATGAGTCGTAATTTTTTGTAAAGATGTAAGAGTATGCTTGACAGTCATTTACATTCAGATATTTTTTTATTTACAGTAGTTGGTGCTTGTAATATTTGAGTATTAATGTGAAACAAATGCATTTACTCTTCCTAGTATTGTTTTTGTAGGTTATGAAATTAACTCGAGAAAAATTTAATTTGTTGATTTTCTGTACAGTAACTTTGTACACATAGTGTAACAGTTCTGGTGTTTGTCAAAATTTTACATTTGACTTTGTACCTTTTTTGAAAGGCACCAGTAATTTCTGATTTGGATGGGATAAATGATCTTTAATCTCCAAACCGTAATGTTGTGTCTATATCAACAACTCTTAATATCTGATTTTTCTGTTGAATGAAAGTAAAGGGTTTTGAAAAGTGGTGAAGTGCCTAAAAATTAGTCTCACTGAAATATTAGGTTAAATTATTATGTTGCTACAACTGAAATATATACTCATGTTAGGGCAGGATTTGAAATGCATGTTTTGTTGCAGGGTGTTGTTGAATACTCCTTGAGTCTGTTTTTCGCAAAGCTAGTGAGCTACACATTTCTGTATTGGCTTCCACTTTACATCAAATCATCAAGTAAGTGTGCCCACTATTTATGATGCTGTTTGGATAATTTTTTTAGTTTATGAAATTGGGTTCGCTTGTTGCAACTCGTGGAAGAGACGTATTCTGTGTTGGGAGGGCAGAAACTTAAGAACATGGTATAACAGAAAACAATTTCTTTCCTCTTTTTTGTGAAAATTGTAATTTGGAGTTGGAAAATATCTTCTGAATGCACCCATTATTAATCCTGTGTTCAGTACATTATGTTATGGGGACCAAAGTTAGGAACGGCAAGTTTTTAATTATTACACTGCTTTCCTAGAAGAATGTGTGAGGGTTGAGTGTAAATAAAAGTTGCTTAAAGCACCAACACACAAATCAAATGCATACTGCAGAGCACTGTTTTACAGTCTTGTAATAGTTAAAATTTCAGATGGATAAACACAAATGTTAAAAGTATGCAGAATATCTGATAAGTAGTTGATTGATTACATAAAAACCCACTGATGAACCCCGCTGATTTCGTCTATACATAGCAGGGCTGTGGAATCGGAGTCGGTAAAAATGTACCGACTCCGATATAAAATCTTAAGAAAATACTGTTTTAACACTTTCACTATCGTGTGAGCTGCCGGCGGCCTGACGCTTAGGGAGATTCAATGACGCGTTGAGCCACATGGTGTGGGAATAATGCTTTGTAACTGTGGCTCCAATACCTTAAGAATACAAACTATCTACAAATCAACCGATTTCTGCAATAGCCATTAGACTTAAATATAGGTTATAAGTCTAAAAAGTAGCCTGATGATTCACGTGGTGGTGATGAAATGTCTTATGGTACCATTTACCATTATTAACACATAGTGAGCTTTTACGAATTAGTCAGAATTGGAGAGTTAAAAATTGAGGAGTAGGAGGTTTTGTGTATCGACTCCACAGCCCTGATGTATAGAGTTAAATTTGACAAAAGAGTGTTTGAAAAACATTGTGTGTGTAGTTGATAACTGATATTCCCAGATTATTACTACATTTAATCTTATCGCCCTTCACTGCTGGCACTTCTTTGTTCCAAATAGAATGAGTAAGTTTGTATTTTTGAACACAGTGCATTACCTCCAGCTTGGATCAGTTCTGCCAGACTTTTATGTACACTTTGCATCTTTTATTTCTTTTAAATTTCAATGGCAATCTCAACCTGAGGTACTAATAGTTCAATTGTATATATTTCAGTCTGCCTAATATTGTTAACACCACATATATTCAGACTTGTGAGCCGGGATAGCTCAGTCAGTATAGTGACTAGCTACGGGCTGGACGGCCGGGGTTCGATCCCCGACGGGGGCAGAGGATTTTTCCTCTAGCCCCTGCGTCCAGACCGGCTCTGGGGCCCACCCAGCCTCCTCTACAATGGGTACCGGGGTCCTTTCCCGGCGGTAAAGCCGGCCGGGGCGTGATGCTGACCACTCACCCTCATCTAGTGCCGAGGTCAAGGAAGAGAGGAGCTATACCTCCACTCCCCCCAAACGCCTACATGGCGTATAGTGGGACAAACTTTACTTTACATACATTCAGACATTAACAAAAGAAATTCTTTCACCTACTGAAAATATTGTGCAACTCTGCAAGCATATCACAATTCTCAGTGTTCAGTAAGATTGTTCTAAGTTTTAACAATTCTTAAATTAATTTATTTCTCTGTACACATCTCTAGTTTATTTGTTATTACTTTTTGAAGTTCATTAATTCTGTCTTTCAGATATCCCTTCTTTTTTTCCCTGAAAGTTCTGCTAGTTACATGTATTATCTGCATTTATATGGCTTGGATTCTGCAACCACTGCAGTTTAATGTATCTTTCCATCAGCAGAAGTATAATTTATTTATGAATCCTGCAATGTGGGAACATTGTACTGTTGACATCAAAGTTTTATGGTGTGGAAAAGTTTACTGCTGGAACTCCTTTTTCATTTCTAGGCTCATGTAAGCTCTCATTCTGTATCGTCTGTTTGAAAATGTCTTGTGTACCCTACCTTTACATTTTAAATCTTCTGTCAAAATTTTGCATGCACATTCAGAACTATATCACACCAGTGGCTTAATAATAATATATATGACATCTTGCCTCTCCTCTTAACTGCTTATATGATTCCCTTGTGTATGAAAATGCACGAAATGAAGGAATGATTGTCATTTCCATTTCTGTAGAAAAAATACAAACAGTTGCTTGTTCAGTACCACTCTTATCCCATTTCACTTGTACTTCAACCAAATATAACTTACATTTTTCTGATTCTCTTGATACTGCTTATACATCACATTGAAACTTGTTTATTCTTTTGTTAATATAAAGATATATAGATAACATTAATTTAATAAATATCTTGTTTTTACATCACCTGCAATATATTGCTACTCTTACATGAATATAATAATGATGGCAACACTTGTGTGGTGTCTACATGTCATTCTTTTATTTCAGCCACAAATGTTTAGAATTTGCAAATAATACATTTTGAAATTCTGTTTATTCCGTATGAATTACACCTATTCAGTCTTATATGACGAATGTTCTATTAACTTTCATGTCTGGAGGCCTTTTCCTCCATCTGCAATCTGATGTTGCACTGTACCATCGTGACGAAGGATCCGCTTTACACTTTTTATGATTTAACCCTTCTGAAGCGTATGTAAATAATATTTAAAAATTCAGTTCTGCCCACAGGAGATACGTCACTTCTCCATTACAAAGATCAGTTCATTAAAGCAATTTAAGGAAATAATCATTGTTTACTCTGATAAACATATGAAACAAATAAATATGCTTTGTGGGCAAAATGCAGTACTGATTGTTAAAGCAGGTGGTACATATAATTATCAACGGTGTTTAAAGGGTTCGTTTTGTGTGTTGAAGCCATGTACCTCTTCAGTAATGCAGTAATTTATTTCAGCAACTCTTAGCCCCACAGAGAGTGCACAGTTGTCAACATTATTTGATGTTGGAGGGATTGTGGGTGCAATTGTGGCGGGTGGCATCAGTGACTACAGTGGCAAGAGCGCTTCCACGTGTGCGGCGATGCTGTCCTTGGCCATCCCTATGGTGAGTTGCTGCAGTGATTGACTGAGACTACCTTTGCAGTTCCATGTGATTTCATGCTATGATTTTTACTTAATTCCATCTTCCATCATATGGAGAAAGTTCTTCATACCATGTTGCATGGTGGTGATGTAGGGTAGGATATTTAAAGAGTTTAGTTCAAGGTAATTTACAATGGCATGACCTTCATACTACATGAATACCATCCATTTCAGTAATTATTAGGGAGAAAAATGATGGCATGGATTTGTAGGTGCGCATTTATTTCGGCTCAATTTGTAAAATTTTAGCATCTTTCCAACAAATCTGATAGCCTTCTCAAACATGTGCTGGACCAGTTTCAAATTTTCCATCAGACCCTGCCTAATGTTATGTCAGTGTTCCTCGATACGCCCTCCCAAAAGTCTCCGTCTTTCTCACATCCCCCTGAAGCCTAAATATATCTGTTTGGTCAAGAATCATCATTGAACCTCAAAGGGTACATTTAGTTTTGTAAACAGTCCTGATTTTGACATAGTTTTCAATTCACTCAAATTTTCTTGGATGTGCTCCTGATCTAGGATGACAACCATCCCAAGAAGGATAACCATTTTTTGCCAATTTGTTGATAACACAGTGAAGTGTCCTACATCATTCTACCACTCGGCCGCTGATATGCTGTATTCGTGTTGTCCAGATAGTCAGGAGTATCCAAGACTTCCATTTGACTTTTAACCTAAAGTCCAGTTTGTGCTGACATAAATTGACAAAGTTCTATTTGCTCTTGTACTGGAATGCAGCTGTCATGGATCACAAAAATAGTTGGCAATGCCTTTACTTCTTGCACTGTACGTTATTGAAAAGCATTATAGAAAGTTGCATTAACGTGGCTGGTCATATCATTAATGTTATTATGTAAAATATGCTTAAGGCCTGAATTTCAAGGTGGCTTGAAGTAAAAGACGGATGGGTACTCCGTGGGTTGAGAAGCATTCCCAGTGAAATCTTGAGCAGGGTCTTGTATTATAAATTAATAATTCTCAGAAAAATCAATTAAGCAGATGGTGTTGTCCACATGCAGGGACTCATTGCCCTGATGATGGAGGAAGCAAGCACCTATGAAATGTTTGTAAACTTCTACCAGATTTCATGGTGTAATGACCCACAAGATGACCATCTGTATACTCACCACCACGAGAACCTGAAATCTCACAATCTACATCTTATTTATACAGAAATTTAATTTTCAAGAGGTTGTGTAATTGATCTTGCTGCAATTTAGAAAATGCATCCACAGGGATGCTATTGTGTTCGCAGCTTCAGACTTGGGGAGTTCCATTTTTATCTCTAAACAAAGTATTCAATTTTTTGTGGAATTTTTAAACATGACAGTTACCAGTGTTGTCTGATTAGATATGGATTGTACCATATGTCTTTTACAAATATCTGATTATCCTTTATATGTAAGAAAAAGTAAGATTATGAAGAGAAATTAATTTCCCACAGCCTTAACTTAGAAGTGCTTAGTTACTAATTTGTTTGCTTTGTTGAGCTCCAGGTATGATTTTTCATTGTTTCAGATGTTTGTATATGAGGACTATGGAACAGACGGTTTTGTAACCAATGTTTTGCTGCTGGCTGCAGTGGGATTTCTAGTAAATGGTCCATATGCTCTCATAACAACAGCTGTATCCGCTGACCTTGGAACCCATCATTCACTGGAAGGCAATGCTAAAGCTTTAGCAACAGTGTCAGCAATCATTGATGGAACTGGATCAGTAGGTGTGTGATTGTCACCCTTGGATGTTTTCACATTTGAAGTCGTCACTCCGCAAAGTCACTTTGACTCCTGCATCTTGAACTTAGCCATTGGAAGTCACTCAAGTGCCAGCTGACTGCACTTACACACACAGATCTTCAATGTTTTCTTGCCTTTATCTGGTTGCATTTTATCAACCAGTTGATTTCAAGAGCTTATTTATTACACATCATATTTCAGCTATTTTACTGTTTGTATTTACTTTTCCTCTATACATATCTGCATGTTGGGCAAACAACCATAAGTCAGAGGCCACAGTCTCGTGGTGTTCTTTCACATATTTCCAAATCTTTGGTGGTTAAAACTGTCTGACACGAGCCACAAAAACTACACAAGAAGTCCGCCTGTCATTTCCCACGAAGTCGCACAAGAGCTACCAATTGATAAATAGTTTCTACTCAGGCAATTCAAAAAAGAGCCACATTTTTTTCTGCCTGATGCAGAAACAAGCTATACCACTAACAGTTGGCAGCATTGAAACTTGTGAGCTGAGATATCAAAACACTGCTTTCTGTGGGTGGATGGTGTGAAAAGGGGTTAAAATTCATAGGCAATAATTTGAAAACACTGAGGATAGGAAGATTGTCACGAGGTGTTGTTTTGTTGTGTGACGGCACCAACCCTCATTCTGCTGCCCACACTAAGGAAACCCTTGAGGAACTGAAATCTGAAGCTGTTCACCACCCACCATACATTCCAGACCTTGAACCCTCTGATTTTAATGTTTTTTCATGGTTCTAACCAATTTTATGATCTTGCATCCTTTTTTGTACTGTCTATGTAGTACAGTTTCCATAAGCAGAGGTAGAAATTGTCCTTTTGCCATAGGAGCGTATCCATTGTGGTGCCCCTTAGGTATTTCCCACACAAACTGAACAAAGATTAGGTTTTGAATTCCAGCAGTAGTAGTTTTTAATTTTGGGGTTTATATTTTGGATAGGGACCTACAGATTAGCATGAAGTGCAATTTATGTGAGATTCAAGTACTAGGCAATTCTCTCTCTCTGGGGGTTATAAGTTCTGAAATAAGCTTGCCCACAAGCCTAGAGATAGCCGTTATGGCGCTGAATGTTAGTTACGTGCATTTGGGACTTAGTATGAAAAGAACTCTAAGAGGAGGTATATTTGGAGGCAGAAAAGGTGAATGTGTTGTGAATTTGTGTCTTCAGGACACTATTATTTGACGTTCCCACATACCCTTGATCTTCCCCTTCTTATTTTTCATGTCCGATGGTTTCGTGTAGGTGCTGCTGTTGGACCATTGGTGGCAGGGTTTGTGTCAAACATGGGTTGGCAGTACGTGTTCTACATGCTGATGACAGCAGATGTCCTCGCTCTTCTGGTAAGAATTTACTTGCTTCTGTTCATG